TTAAATGATTAACAATTAATTAATTATAATATTACAATAATTAAATGTATAATTAAATGTATATTACTTGATTAATTATAACATTACAATTACATTATAGTATGATCATTAATAATTATAACATTACACAATTAACTGATTACTAATTAATTATGACATTATATTATAAAGATTAAACATAAGAAGTAAGAATGATTAGAAATTTAATTGATTATAACATTACATTATTGTTAAATAACTACTTAAATAATTATAAGTATTTATAACATTACATTATAGTATGATCACTTAATTAATTATAACATTACATTATAATTTAATAATTATAATATAATGTTTGAATGATTTTGATGAAATTATTTGATGTGAATTGTGATGAATAATTGTTTGTGTTTTGGTTTTGATTGACGAATTTTATGTGAATTGTGATAAATTGATTGAATTCAAGTGTTGCCTAGATATTACAGGTTATGAGTTATATTGGACACAAATGAATGAATAATCAAAATTTGTTAGGGGTGTATTTGTAAACTTTTAAAGTATTTTTGTCATTTTTTAAACTAATAGGGGGGTAATTGATTTTTTATAGGGTACCCGGGAAAGGAACCGGAACCTGCATTTTAGGTTCCGGTTCCTTGAATTGAAGAACCTGCACTATGCGATTCCAATTCTGGTTCCTTTTTTTGGGAACCTGTACTGTGCGGTTCCGGTTCCGATTCCCCTAGAAAGTGTAGGGTACCCGGAACTGCTCACCCCTACTTTTGAGGTACAGTACTGCCAGCCAGTGGGGAGGCGTCTCAAAGCAAACCTTCTACATTAGATTACTGGACTTGTATCACTTGTCTACGTCTCTTTCTTCGGTGTAAATTTGAGACTTTAGTTGGCGGGTGGTGGACTTCTCGTCTGGTTTAGGAAATTTTTTTAGGAAGTTTAAAACTTAACAACATAGCCTCAGCCACCCAAGGTAATTGGCGACTACTGGCCATTTCCACCAACCACCACCGACAATCGTTGGAACAGTGCATGACCAGTCAGACATGGTTGACCGTGCATCGATTTGGCAGAAAACAGTCATATCCATTCTGATCATTTTTAGCCTTCGATCTGGTTAGAAATAGCCAGATCCATGCATGGCTAGCTAGATCCAATCGATCGTGTGCTGTTTCAATGACTGTTGGCGGTGGTGGCCAACGGCTGACAGCAGTCTTGGGTGGTTGGGGATATTTTTGGTATTATTCGTGTAAATAGAGAGAGTATTTATGTCCAAAAAATTAATATATAAGGTTATAGAAGTCATTTCGCATATTTGAGCTAATTGTTATTTAATAGACATATAAGAGCATGTGTCCAAAATGTTTATTAATTAAGGGTAGAATTGGTATGAACTGTGGGTTACCTGATAATAAAAAAATAACACATTTTTTAGACGGTAATCGAATTACCCCCTATATTACCTACAATAATTAAATATTAGTATTAGCGATTACTAGAATCTTTCATTACTTGACACCCAAACGTGATAATTGTCGGATTGAAAGATAGATTACCGATGTCATTTTTTATGATCCTGAACCAAATGCTACGATAGTAAAAACTCATTGAACCCACTCAAGTTTTAGTGTCCCACCCATAACCCAATTGAGAATAATAGCCGCCCTTAATATTTAGTACATACTGGAATTCTAAAGCTGTTGATACGATTAAAAACAAAAACTGAATTAGATAAAATGAACTTATGCATGTTGGAAACTATGTATATATGTAGTCAAGGGTATATATGTAATTGTTGTGTGTGTATATAAGTGTAAGGCTGTACTGTTGAATTTTTGAGAAATAGAAATCGAAAATTTTTGCGATCTGGCCACGCAATCAAAGAGCTAAAGATCAACGATCTGAAGCTGAAGATCAAGACGATCTGACAACGATCTGACCAAGCGATCGGAGAACTCTGACGCTTATGATCTGGCCACGCGATCTGAGAACTCTAACGCATGCGATCTGCAATTTGGCCATGCAATCGGAGAACTCTGACTCGTGCGATCTGGCCACGTGATTGGAGAACTCTGACGCGTGCGATCTGGCCACATGATTGGAGAACTCTGACGCGTGCGATCTGCAATCTGGCCACGCGATCAGAGAACTCTAACTCTGCAATCTGGCCACGCCATCGGGGAGCTTGGACGCAGGTTTGAGACCTGCATGGGCCACCAAATTGTTGATGCTTGACTTTGGACACCAACGACTCGCATGTGCAAAGTGCTAAGAGAGTCTTAGAAATTACATGTGATGGATCCATGAGATTTGAATATGGTGCTGAGATTATATATGTTGTAGAAACATAAATAATAGACTGACAAGAGAAGTTTTTATAGTGGTTCGGATGCTTAAAGCAACTCATACACTGTTATTTTATTATTCTCTGACTATTTCTATGATATTGCCCATAAGACATACAAAGATGAAGAAATACTTTGCTTACATTGAGAAATAATGAAGCTCAAATCTATGCCTAGCTATCATATGCCCAACCTCTCTTTTCGTGAAGAGATGTGTTCATTTATACACCTTTTAGGTCAATGTAATGAATGCTTTTGCAAGTTGCCCTGACACGTAGGGACCATTCCTTAATTCTTATCTTTTTATTTTGATAAAGTTGGGACAGGTGTGCGCTCCTCATCCACTCATAGACAAAACTTGAATTTGATGGGTTGGTGACAGCTGTATCCCTTGTCTTGGGGTGACGTGACAGCTTCTAGACAGTACAAAGCCTTCCTGAACTTTGATTGGTTGGTGCTGTTATCAGTGCGATTTTTTAGGCACAATAGTTACTATAAATGATCATTTCTCATTTGGTTAGCATTCAATATCTTAAAAAATAGCCTTAGCATCTCAGAAAAGCCATTAAAAAGAGGGAAAACTGAAAGAAATTTGAAGAATTCATTTCTCTGATAAAATTGTGATATAATACACAAAGGAATTTCAAGTCCTAAAGACAAATATGTTGGACTAAACCCTAAACAGAACTCAATATCAACATACTCAACTACATTATACTCCATACTTCTGATCTCAACAAAAATGTCCAAAAATTGAAATCCCAAAAGAGCTACTCGAAAAAATTCTTTACCAAGATTACCCGCCCTAATAAACCCAAAATTCCTGATAAAGAATTCTACCACTAAAACGCTAGGAAAACGCGACGTTTTCAAGATCCAGAAAACCAATCAAATTAACCAAAAAACCAATCAAACAGTAAAGAAGCCATAAATAAAAGCCCTTCTCTAATCACCTTGATCTAAGCAAGAACACACTGAACTCTTAACCCGGGTACTCATCCGGGTTAATCAAATGAAACGACTCCGAGTCAGCACTTCCTATCAGGTGCTCATAATTTGCCCTCAAGTACATGATCTCCTCCGCTTCCGAACTCGAAGACCCGAACCCGGTTGGAATAACACCCGCACCAACAGTCGTGGACTCCATTGTCTTTAACATCAAACGATTTTGCCCACTCGCTTTTCTCCAAACCGTAAAACCCACCTTCCACCCATTACAGTACATTATCCAAACCGGTACAGATCTGGGCAGGCAAGACAGAGTTCGGGTCGGGCGCACTCGAGAGCAATCCGTACAAGTCCGCAACGCATTTCTTTGACAAGCTGGTGAGTGGGAATGGAGAGTTCAAGGAGAAGAGAGGGTTTTGTAGATTGACGTTTGTGTTGAACGCAGAACCAGACATGGCCACGTCGTTGACCGAAGATGGTACCGATTACCATAGACTTGGAGGGATGAGAGGAGGCAATTGGAAGAGAGGTGACGCTATCTTCGGGAGAGGTTGATTCTTGATCTTGGTTTGTGTTTTGATCTTCTTGATTAGTATTGGTGGTGGTGGAGGGTTCGTTGAGGTCGTCTCTTAAGGAGGTGTTGAATCGTTTCTTGAGAGGAGTTGTTTGCGCGGTGGAGGAAGTGGTGGAGGTGGGGAAGAGACAAGGGAGAAAGAATCGACGGAGAGCGTCGATCTTAGTCATTGCTATGGGTTGCTGAAGGCAGAGAATCAAGATTGAAGCTTGGAGAGTTGTAGCTCGATCTGGTTTTTGGAGGGTTTATGAAATATATAAGGGCGGGAAGAAGTGAATATAGCCGTTAAGGTTCTTTCTTGTTTGGATTGGCAGGGATAACTTCTCAGAGAGTGACACGTGTATAGCCCAACTGTTGTCCAGTCTGTCTGGGTGGCACCCTGTTAATTACTTAATTAAGCTTGGATTATTAACTAAACTACTCTGATCAAAATTTAAGTCTCCAATTGTGGATTAAAAGTTTAAAACTAAAGAAAGAATTATTTTTCTAATATTATAAGTACTATAACTATATTTTACTTACATTAATAATTAATTTATATATCACACAATAATTTTTCGTATTGAAAAAGACAATTAATAATATTTTGTATAAAATGTTAACATTTCTTATGTTAATAAAAAAATAACACAAAACATAATACCAACATAATCAAGTCAATATAACACAAGAGGAAGGAAGAAAAGTTGTCACTTATTTTCTTCTCAGTTCTCTCACATATAAGTTGGCAAATACGTTGATTTATGCACGAGTTAAATCCTAATATCAATTAAACTAAAACTCTTAAGCAGGAGATCATGACGGTGTGGTGCTGTGTTAATCATCTATAAAGATAAGTCTTGGTTTGGACACCTTGTTTTGAAAAAAAAACTAAAACTCTTAACACTAATTAAATAAATTAAATACTAATATTATCTATCTATGTAGATAACTCCGATCTATAATAGAATAAACAAACAGCATAAAAATACTAATAAAATTTATATACTTAATTTAATTTCCAACAAGAACTCTAAATAAAGAAAGAAATGTAATAACATGAGAGCGAAATTGTATAAGTCTATGACCATGTACAACATGTCTGAGAGATGATGAAGAAGAGGAAGAACCCAAATTATTGATGTGGAACTTGAACATTAAAGTTAAACAGATTCTACAGTCTCCTGCTTTTCCTCCGTTCTGGAATTGGGATCTTTTTCTTTCGACAAAAAACGGTATGCGAAGACATTGAAATATATAAGATTTAATACTTCAATGACTGCAATCATGAAATAGAAATACTCCAGGGTATCTTTGTTAAGATCAGTACCACCAAGCCATGGAGCAGCTCCATTTTTCCCAGTTATTCCATGAATCACATTAACTAGAAGGGAGTTCAAATAGCTTGCAATTGATAAGCTCAGAAAGAATATTGCTCCGGAAACAGTCCTCATTGATTCTGGCAATTTTGTAGTTAAAAATTCCATTAAGGCCACAGCGGCAAAGGCTTCTGTCAAACCTGAGAAGCAAAATTGTGGCACCAGTGCTAAAATACTCAGAGATGACTTAAATGACTTTTGTTCTAAAGCCAAGATCCTACGCTTCTTTTCAATAAAACCAGCTACCAATAAGCTGAGACTTGCCATCACAATACCAGTGTTAATTCTTTCTCTCATTGTCATTCTTCTTTTCTTTCCTGTCATTTTACGAGACAGAGGTACAATAATACGTTCATAAATGAATATCCATGATGAAAGTGAAAGCATTGATACTAGGCCCATCCAACAAGGTGGCATATTGAAACCCCCAATTATTGTATTAGTCTGAATTGCTTGAAGCATTCCAGTTGTGTTATTTTGGTCCATGGCTATGAAACAAATGATTCCTGCTACCCAAACTGGAAACATTCCTACCAACATTTTCAGTTGTTCCACTTGTAGCACGCTACATAACTTCCATTCATTCTTGGCCTGGCCTTGGTCATCCAATTCACTTGGATTAAGTATCACAGCAGCCTTGTCAAGGCACAAGAATCTATCACTGTGTGGAATATTTGTCGTCTCTGAGTCTGATGCGGGCAAAGGAGGATCGTAAAGGGAGGTTTCTGAAACTGAAGCAACAGTTACTTTGCGCTTCCTAAAAGCGGCTGTGATCACTTTTGCCATGTCAATAAAAACACTTCCTTGAGGCTCCTTGAGAATGTAAGTATGGTAGCCGATCAAGAAAATGATTATAGAGAGAAGAAAACAGCCGGTTGGTATGGCGAAGCCAAGAATCCAACTGACATTAGTCTGAATGTAGACAACCACAGTAAGAGCTACAATAAGGGCCAAAGTAAATGAAAAGTACCACCAATTGAAGAAGCTCTCTAGTTGATGCTTCCCCTTCTCTGTTGAGACATCAAATTGGTCAGCCCCAAAGGCAATGTTGCAGGGTCTAATGCCTCCCGATCCAATGGCAAGTAATGCAAGAGCAGCAAAGAGGATGCCTAGTTGCCAGTTCTCAGACTTTTGGCATTGACTTCCATTGCAGGGTGGCGGTCTAAAGTGAGGTATGCATGCCGTCATGGTCATAACTCCCATACCCTGTCAGAATAAATCTCAGATTCTTAATATACGCAGTCTTGTTCCAAGGTTCAAAGTAGAATTCTAAATTTCTAATGGATTATAATCAACAAAAGATACATATTTACATTAATTCATCCAAAGGCATGTGATGGTTATTTAATTGAACATTAAAGAATAATGATGATGAGAAATTAAAGAGAAATTAATTGAACATTAAAGAATAATGATGACATTCCAGATCTTATTAAATTTGATATTATGGCATGAATATTTGTACCAGAAAAGAGGATATGGAGCCGAAGAGGAGGGTGCGGAACCTGCCCAGGTATGTATCAGAAATCAAAGCACCTGGTATAGCTGCCAAATTAGAGGTTCCAGACCAAATACTAACCACATTAACCAAAAGTATACCATCCATATTATATTTGGTATGTAGATAAACAGTAATGTTGGCGATCAAACTCATCGAAGCCAACTTCTCGAACGTCTCGTTTCCTGAACAATACAAACAACAAACAATCCATGAAATGAAAATTTACAGAAAAAAAAATAAAAATAAAATGTAATGATACCCAATGCAATGCTAGTTACAAAATGATTTCCATTTCATTACCCAGGATATATTTTACGGCTCTCCATCCTCCTTTTGATCTTGTAGAAATATTAGGAGCAAACATATAAGGTGAAGGAAGTGAGTGAGAGCTTTGCCGAAAAGGAGTTGAATAAATGGGATCGTCTTCTTTCTCCATCTGTCCACCCCTCCTCCTTCCCTATAGCTTACAAAGTAAAACTACTGAGCTGAGAGATGGTAATTCTATTTATTGTGTTATTTGTATGTCAAACTCATAAATGTGGATCCTATGATTTAGACTTTGCAGTTTGCACTAATTATCAAAGTTATCGGATTTTTCTCTTTCTGTAGTAGGACTTGATTCTTTAATAACACTGAAATTTCTGTTTTTGTAACAGCTTATACCGGACTATTATTTTAACAATTTTCTAGTTGCATTGCATTATGGATCATTAAAGTGAGAAAATGTTAAACCTGAATGTGGGTAAGAGAATTTGTTAATTGTTATAATTAATTTTCATAACAACTGCTTTAAAACCCGGTTTGGCCTGTGTAGACGTAAAAATCTACCTGTATGGAAAAGGGGGTCTAATCCCGCGAGGTTGAGGCCACTAGCGATCCGCTGTACCTGCACACGTAGGAAACACGCGTGAAGCGAACGGGAAACACTGGTGTGGTGTTTGCCGTAGGCACTCCGACGTTCAAGTCAGCAAGGCTGAAGGGCAAATATAGTGAGGGCTAGGGAATAAAAGGTTACCAGAAGTCTAGTCGGGGACTGTGACTACGGCGGTGATGTGAAGCTCTCAAGTTAGAGCTTTCGGTGTGAAGGTTCAATGTCCCTTGTGAGAGGGTTGGCCTCTGCTTATATAGTGACTGTCTAGTCTCCCAATCCTGGTAGGAGTAGGAGTCTTAGTATGACTCTAATGCAAACCCTAGAAGAATTAGGGCCGTGGTAAGCTGTCTTACCAGTGTTCGAATAGGAAGGTGATTCTGATTAGGAGAGTAACTTCGAGCAGGAAAGTGATCAGGAATGGGAAGTATTCTGAGGAGATCGTGGGCTCTATACTCACCCATGGACTTGGGAAATGGGCTGGGATTAGGAGGCTCGTGCCCACGTGATCTGGGCCGGCTACCTATTGTATCGAATGGGCCTAACCCGGTAGGGTCATATCAGGATTGGGCTTGGCTTCTTCTTCAGTGTCGCGCCCATTTTCCTATTTGGGCCAAGGACGATTTTTGGCCCTAACAGTTTGCCCCCCACTCTCTGAGTTAAGAGTTTCTTGAGTCAGAGAGTAGGAAGCGATCGATGGGTGCTCGGTCGTCCTTCCAGGATGGTCGGTTGTTGGTATAGCTAATCCTGCAGATGATTATCCCGGGGTCGTTCGGTATCCATTGTCGATCCGGAGTATACCATCATTGGAGTGCTGCGCCTGATCGGTATGAAGGGCCGAATAAACGGACAAAGAGACTGGGTTGGGTCATAGGTTTGTTCGGTACGTCGTGTCGAATGGAGGGGCGAGATGCTTCAACTGTCGAGGTGTCCGCTCGGCGGGCTAGGTCGACTGAACAGGAGGGTTAAACCGGACGCTTGCTCGGTCGGTGTGTTCGGGCGATCGAGTAAAAGGATATACGAGCTTTAACAGTTGGATGTCGGTTCGCCCGCTCTGGAAGGACGAATGGGTCGTGCTCCACCTTTTTACCTTAAGAGGTTGGGCCGGGTTATTCCTAAGCTGCTCGGCCGGTCGGGATGTTGGTCTGAACTAGAGGATCGTGGGCTCCTGTTAAGTCCTAAACTGACGGTCGCGGGCTAGATCGGTCGGGGAGGTAGGACGATCGGAACTGATCGTGCAAATTCCTAGGTACCGTGGATGCTTGCCACGTGTTCGGTAGATATCAAATCTTGGTTTTCGAGGCGGGAAAACGGAAAGGCGCTCTGACTCCTAGCCAATCGTGGGTTGCCACGCGTTCTAACCTGTCAATTTTCCTTTTAAAACTGAGTGAACAGGCCGTTCATCTCTCATTTGCAGTTTCCCTCTGTTTTTCTTCAACCAAATTTTTTTTCTTTTTCTTCTTCGTTTTCGGTTTCACTTTCGCGTCGGCAGCTTCTCTCGGTAGACTCCGGCTTTTTCACGGTAAACTTTCTTCCTTTAAGGCGTCTTTTTGTTTCTTCTTTGCGTTTGTTTTGGGAGCATAGGGTGAAGTTTTTTAAGTTTTGGATATTTTTGACTTGTTCTGAGGGGTTTGGAGTACCGATTTTTAGAATAGGCATGAATTTTTGGTATTCCTGGTGGTTTTCCGGCAGGCTGGCTGGTTTTTTTTTTTTTTTTTGGTGTTTCTCTGGATATTTTGGGTAGAACCTGGAAGTCGAAGTCGACTTAGGCATTGTTTGGTTCGGTCGGTACGTCTGACTGAGTGGTGAGGAGACGTGTGGCATGGACTAAATAGGTGATCGGTCATCTAGGGCGAGTGGGAGTCTTTAGGTTAGTGGATTGGTGATCAGGGCGAGTAGGTAACCAGGTTTGAGCTTGGAGGTGGGTCGGTCGTCTGGGGCGAGCGAGTTAGTGCTCCACTGAATCTGGCTCCAGGGTCGGTCAGTTGGAAGGGTCGACCAAGGGTAGGGACGATCTCGTTGTCGGACAGGTCGACTAGTAGCAAGCTTCTTCCTTCGGTGGGTCGGTTAGGTGGGGCGACTGGCTATCTAGGGTTCCATCTCTCGGTAGGACGGGTCGACTGAGATTGAAGAGGCTGATTTTGGGGGACATCGTGCGACCGATAGCTAGGTTGATACTTCAGTGGTTCTTTCAGTTTGAGTTCCATACTAAGGAACGAGTCGGTCGGTTGGGACGGGCGAGTGATCCGATGTCAGACGATACGTCAGCAGGTTCGAGTCGAGATGTGGTGGATGTTGGGGACGAGTATGAGCATGCCCCGACTATTGTGATGATGCCTGAAGGGAGCGTCCCGGTGGGCGTACCGACTAGAGTTAGTGTAGTCACTCCAGGGGGCAAGTCAGGCTGGGCCGAGTGGCTCGGGCAGGCATGGGAGGAGTGGGGAAGACTTCGAAGGGGCCGACAGTCCATCCTCGTCCAGCAGTAGCTCCGAGGAAGAGCCGAGCCAGCAAGGTAGTGGGATTCTGACCAGGGATTATCCGCCCGTGCTGAAGGATGGTGGCGTGTGGCGCATCCGTACATTGTATTATATCCCTGGTTTGGTCGACATCCGGACCCCGCGATTGTATGAGCGGGTTGATTGGGAAGCTGAAGGCTGGGTCTGTGTTTATGAGAAGTGGTTTCATGACGGGTTGAGGTTGCCTGTGCCTCGCCTCGTCTAGGAGGTGCTAAACTACTTCATGATTACCCCTTCCCAGCTTAGGCCGAACGCTTGGAGATTGCTGATGGCCTTGGAAGATCTGTGTGTTCGGCACCACGTTATGTTCGGGTTGCAGGAGCTGCTGTACTCGTACTTCCTAAAGGAGAACGATAAGGAGAAGGGCTGATATTTGCTGAACTTGAGGCACGACCGGTCTCACCTGGTGACCGACCTGCGGTCCAGTGATAAGAATTGGAAAGACAGCTACTTCTTCTTAAGGGGTCAGACCGTTTTCGGAGAGAGGGGCCCGGGCGAGATCCCGATCGGCTGGCGAGCTACTGGTGAGAACTTGTTTCTTTCGTTCTTTTGATTACTAAATCTTGATTGTATTTTTTTGTTTGCAGAGCTTGAGTTCAATCGGGCCGATCAGAGCGGAGATGGCTTGGACGTAGCGACTCAGAGGGTGTTAGCTATCCTATTGGAGCGGAGGGATTGGCGGGTAGTGCTAGCGGAGTCCAACTTGAGGACCAACATTCTTTGGGTTGGAGTAGAGGTGATACAGAGAGGTACTCCCTTCCCCTCACTGAAGCAGACTTGGGACGTTCTCCTAAGTTGATACTGCAATCAGCTGATTTTTGGTGAGTCCGGGCTGAACCCACTAACCGTTGGAGAGTTTGCACTTGCAGAGTCACTTATGAAGAAGTTGAGCATCCCAAGCGCGAGCGAGTCCATCGCCAGGCGTCGAGAGAAGAGGAAGAGGGAGTCGGTGGCCAGGGCGGACGTGCGGGTTGATGATGTATTGGCGACGCCGCCCAGTCAGCAGCCGCCGAGCCAGCAGCCCTCAGTAGGATCCGGGTCGTCCCAGGCTGTCGTTGTGGATGAGAAGGCCAGGACTATTACTATCACGATTTCGGCTACTGCATCGACTTATTCCGATGCGACATCTATCAGTAAGCTGGTCGACTCTTTCTTGTTCCCGACGGACGAGGCGCGCCTGAACCAGATGGGTGCAGTTGCTGCCGCCGATTAGGGTGTATCCCGCGCCATTCAGGTATGGCAGTACTTGTTCATTTTCCCTGTTTTTGACTTTGTTCTCATTGTTGAGTTTTGTTGTGCAGGTACTCACTAGCAGTCTTCATCTGAGGAAGTCTGTCATGGCGCAGGAGAAGCGGATACATGATGTATCTAAGGCCAACACTGGTTTACGCCAGAGAGAGGCAGCGTCCCGGAAGGCTGAGCAGGAGAGTTAGCAGCGCCTCAGGGATAGTGAGGCCGAGGTCAAGAGGTTACGACGCGAGTTAGCCGAGAGGACCGCAGAGGTCGAGTCCCTCAGGGAGCAGTGCATCTCCATTGCTGATGACGCCATCATTAAGGCCTGAGGTGAGCTCATGCTGGAGTTCAAGGAAGGGCGGACCTCTCATTGGGATCCAGATAAAGACATTCTGCTCATGCATGAGTTGTTGGAAGAAGAAACTGGTCGTCCGGGGGGGTAGGACGAGGGGCAGGTGCCTGAATTCAGTCAGCCAGGGCAGTCAGGTGTTGGGGACGTGAGCGACCAGGCTGCGGGGCCGAGCACTAGCGGTGCGGACATGGCGACTGATTTGGTGATGAAGGATGAGGCTCATGCTGAGGATGCTTAGCGCTTCCTTTTATTTTTGTATTTTGGGGCCTGTGACGCCCTTTTGTCTGGCGTCTGTGCCATTTTTTGTATTCTGAATTGGGGCGCTTGATGCCATATATACCACCTTTGACTGTTCTGATTTCTAGTGTTGTCTCCTTGGATGAATGAACTGTTCTTTTATTTCTCTTCTTGTATGTGCGTTATGTTTTGTGTATGTTACCGCCGCGTGGCCCAATGGCTAAGGCATGTAGGCCTTATGTTGGGCTGGGTTGGTTCTTTGCTTGTCAATAGTGTAGGAATCATTCATTTGGTCTGGCCGACCGAGTGTGTAGTCCCCTGGATGAATGGCGTTGCATCTTCAGTTCAGTTCTTAGGTCGAGTGGGGCCGGTCCTAAGGTGCCAAGTCTTGGATCGGGCAGGGCCGATCTGAAGGTGTCGTCGTGAGTCAAGCGGGGTCGATTCAAAGGTGAGTAATTCATCGACCGGGGTCGATTTGAGAGGTGTCCGTATGTATCGGGCAGGGCCGATTTGAAGGTGTCCGTACGTTTATCGGGCAGGGCCGATTTGAAGGTGTCCGTACGTTTATCGGGCAGGGCCGATTTGAAGGTGTCCGTACGTTTATCGGGCAAGGCCGATTTGAAGGTGTCCGTACGTTTATCGGGCAAGGCCGATTTGAAGGTGTCTGTACGTTTATCGGGCAGGGCCGATTTGAAGGTGTTCGTACATTCATCGGGCAGGGCCGATTTGAAGGTGTCCGTACGTTCATCGGGCAGGGCCGATTTGAAGGTGTCCGTATGTTTATCGGGCAGGGCCGATTCGAAGGTGTTCGTACGTTCATCGGGCAAGACCGATTCGAAAGTGTCCGTACGTTTATCGGGCAAGGCCGATTTGAAGGTGTAAGCAATTTGTCGACCAGGGTCGATTTGAAGATGAGAACTTCTGAATAATACTTCATTAAATATTTGTCCATGAGGCCGACTGTCTAAGAGGAGGTGGATAGACCCACTCATCCTTTTAAAAATGAAAAGAAACAAAAAACAAATCCTCAAAAAAGACAAGGTTCACCTAGAAGTAGTAGCGTTTGAGGTGAACAGCATTCCAACTGTTGTTGATGTCTTTGCCCTCGGGGGTCTGGAGTTTGTAAGCGCCCTTCCCTACTGCTTTGATTATCTTGTAGGGACCTTCCCAGGTAGGACCGAGTTTGCCAGAGTTGATCTCCTTGGTGTTTTGGAAGACCTTGCGGAGGACCCAGTCGCCTATCTTGAAAGTACGGATCCTCACGTTGCGGTTATAATGTCGGGCGGCCTGTTGATGTTTGCTTCTTCTAGTCCCATCGCCTTGATTGCTTCAAGGAATAGGATATTTGCTGACGAACCTCCATCTACGAACACCTTTTTCACTAGGATGTTGGCAATCTGCAAGGAGACGACTAAAGCGTTGTGATGAGGAGCGGCCAGGGTGACCGGTTCGTCATCTTCAAACTGAATTAACTGATGAGAGTGTGATCGCAAGACCGGATGGATGGACTGTACTTCATGGTGGTGGCTGGCTCTAGCATATTGTTTGGCTGATGAGTAACTTACTCCACTGATCTTTGATCCTCCAGAAATGAGCGAACATAAGCCTTTTGGTGTGGGTTCCCGCGGAAGGGGTGACGGTTCTTTGGAGCTTTTCTAGCTAATTGTGTTCTTCCCCTTGTCAACAAGCAGATCACGGAGATGTCCCCTTTTCAGAAGTGCGGCGACCTCGAGCTGCAAGGCAATACAATTTCCGGTGTTGTGCCCATGGTCACTGTGGAACTCGCACCACTTGGTTGTGTCTCTCCTTGCCTCGGGATTGAGCTTGCCAGGCCACCTGACGGTGGATCCCAATCCTTTCATTATTGCTACGACCTGGGTTGGCTCGACATTGAGGTTGTACTCTAGTATCTTGTGTTGGTTCGATCCGAACTGCCTGTTATCATTTCTCGTGTGTTGGCGATCATAAGGCTTCCTGACTCTGCTCATATTACGTGCTGGGGGTTGGTAGCGGTGCTCTACCGGTCTAGACTCTGGCTTCTTGTCGCTCCGCCTTGATTCGTATCTAGAATGGGTAGCTCGGTCCATCTCATCTTCCTCCCATCTTATCTGGATAACCGCCCGGGCCAGAGCATCTTCCATTGTGGTGCAACCCAGCTTTGTAAGTTCTTTGTACAGATCTTCGTCTGGGAGGAGGCCCTTCCTGAAAGCGTCCACAGCAGTCTCAGGGTTACAGGAGGGGATAGAGATCTTTTCCCTATTGAATCTGCTGACATATTCTCTCAATGGCTCTCCCATTTTCTGGTATATTCGGTATAGGTCGGCCGATAGTTTCTCTAGTTTCTTGCTGCTGGCGAATTGCTCTACGAAGGTGTCAGTAAGCTGGGTGAATGAGTCGATGGATCTGTTCAGGAGGTTCGTAGACCATTGGAGTGCTGGTCCAGATAGACTAGAACCGAAACTCTTGTACATGCAGGCTTCCCTAAGCGGTCGGGGTATTGAGACTGTAAACATTCGCTGCTTGTACGAGGCTATGTGGTCATCCGGGTCGGTGGTACCATCGTACGGTTTCATGTTGGGGATGGTGAATTTCTGGGGCATGTCGGCCAGGGCGATCTCATCCACAAAGGGTGAATCAGCATAACTGTGGGGTCTGCTCTTCTTGGTTGGGACTGGCATACCTGGAATGCGTCTCATCACTGCCTCGACGTCGGCCAGTCTTTTGGCCAATACTTGTTCCATAGAGGAGGGGGATACTACTGGGTCATTCTATCTTACTGGATTTGCTGTTGTATTCGTTCTCAGCACATCCCATTGGGTCATCCCTTATGGGGTAGCCTGATAGGTCATTCTGTCGTGCAATCCTTGATAGCATGGATCTTCGTTCATCCTTTCCGGTTGGATGACTCCCATTGTCACTGTTCTGTTGTTCCGCCCCACATGAATGGTCAATGGAGTCGACTTGTAGTCGCTCGGTCGGTCAGGGTGGATGAGCTCGAGTGCTGGAGTTGGTTTGGTTTGGCCATTCAACCCGCAAGGGTGAGCCGAGCCGAGTGGGGTTTGTGTTTGGGTCGTGGATTGGAGGTGGAGCGGCATGGGGAGAGTGGGTTGGTCTTGTGGGTGTGGGCTTTCCGTTATTGGATTATCTTGGTTACGAGGTTGGGATGAGTCGGCTGGATGGTGTTCTGTTGGCATATCTTTGTCTCCATTGGTCAAAACGGAGTCGTCCAGTGCCAGTGCACTTAACGGACGCGGCTCTTTACCGAAGATCGAGGGCTGATACTCTGGTGTGGAGAGTGGTTGCATGGATGGGATAGGGGCACGAAACCGATTGGGAGGTACTTGGTTGGGCAAGAACTCGAGATCATAGAATTGACCCACCTTCTCTTTTAGAGACTGGTTTTCAGCCCTAATGGACGCGTTTTTGGTCCGGATTGCATTGTTCTCGGCTTCCAGCGCGGCCACCTTGTCTGAATTTTGTTGCATGAGAGAGGTCAAAGCCTCCAGTTTGGCCTCGAAGCCGGAGTTAACGTTGTCGGGATTGTCAGCCATGGAATATTTCTCCACGTAGCAAGGTTCATCGAGCCGAATGATTGCTAGAGGCCCCACGGTGGGTGCCAAACTGTAGACGTAAAAATCTACCTATACGGAAAGGGGGGTTTGATCCTGCGAGGTTGAGGCCACTAGCGATCCGCTGTACCTACACACGTAGGAAACACGCGTGAAGCGAATGGGAAACACCGGTGTGGTGTTTGCCGTAGGCACTCCGACGCTCAAGTCAGCAAGGCTGAAGGGCAAATATAGTGAGGACTAGGGAATAAAAGGTTACCGGAAGTCTAGTCAGGGACTGTGACTACGGCGGTGATATGAAGCTCTCAAGTCAGAGCTTTCGGTGTGAAGGTTCAATGTCCCTTGTGAGAGGGCTGGCCTCTGCTTATATAGTGACTGTCTAGTCTCCCAATCCTGGTAGGAGTAGGAGTCCTAGTATGACTCTAATGCAAACCCTAGAAGAATTAGGGCCGTGGTAAGCTGTCTTACCAGTGTCCGAATAGGAAGGTGATTCTGATTAGGAGAGTAACTTCGAGCAGGAAAGTGATCAGGAATGGGAAGTATTCTGAGGAGATCNTTTGTATGTCAAACTCATAAATGTGGATCCTACGATTTAGACTTTGCAGTTTGCACTAATTATCAAAGTTATCGGATTTTTCTCTTTCTGTAGTAGGATTTGAAACCTTAGATCTTAATTCTTTAATAACACTGAAATTTCTGTTTTTGTAACAGCTTATACCGGACTATATTTTAACAATTTTCTAGTTGCATTGCATTATGGATCATTAAAGTGAGAAAATGTTAAACCTGAATGTGGGTAAGAGAATTTGTTAATTGTTATAATTAATTTTCATAACTACTACTTTAAAACCCGGTCTTACCGGTTTAACTGGGACCCTAGAGCTTCATCGAGCCGGGTTAACATTTTCTCTATTCACCAAAAACCCTAAAATTTAGAATGATGATCAGCGAACAATTGAAGGCTGAAATGTTGGGGCTTTTGAAGAGAATGTGCCGATGAGTGCAACGGTGGCGATGGAGTTTATCTTTGGTGAGTAAATCGATCGAAAATCGAAAAAAACCCGACGGCGACAACAATCCGCTTTTGCCAACGATTGGCGAGGCTAACGGGGGTGGGATGAGGTAGGTTTTGGTCAGGAGAAAAATGGGAGTATTTTTGAGGTGATGGGGAGGGTTGTTGACGCCGACGTCGATGAGATCTGACCTGAAATGTCGACGCTAGTATCAATGAGATCGAGCCGAAATCAAACCAATTTCGACTAGATCTTGGGTGTTGTCGCCATCAACCAATCACCGATTAATTTGTAGTTGAAGTGTGTTTGCTAAATTTCAAACCTATAAATACTTAATTATAATTTTTAAGAGTATATTTGCTAAATTTTAAAAGTTTTGTCACCCAGTTAACCGAGACCCGACAACTTTGACAGGTTTCACCCGATGTTAGTTTTTAAAACATTGGTCATAACCATTTGATCAATCAATCAATGTCCTTTTCTGATCCCATTTACCTGAAAAGCTAGGCATATCTTTACTATCTTTTAATCACATTTGTTTTTATAATAAATATGATCACCATGTGTGAAATAAAAATAATGTTTAAAAAATTTAATGGTCTCGCCCATTTTTTGTTTTTTCAAGGAAATCAAACTTCCGATGCCTTTAGTCCTAGAACAATACAAGAGTGATAACTGCTCTCTGCCCTCTGCCTGTGCATGTGAAATTGAGCATCGATTTAAGAGAACATGAGAGCATTGCACGGTTACTGCACACCACTCCATCTAGCCCAGTCTACAAATTGCATGCCGCCATAAACATTGTTAGCAAATCTCACACCCACAGTGAATGCCATTGCAACGGGTGGTATCTGCTTTGCTACGGGTGATGCTTCGACCAAGCGCTCAAGTCCGTTAATGATCTGATAGCGGGTATTGGACGAAACTGAAAGAAAAACACCTGCGAGTACGAGGAGAAGAACAAGCCAATCATTGGAACAGAATAGCTAGATGAAAACAGCATAACCTTTAACAAGATAAAACAACAGAATGACAAGGGCCGGACAGAAGGGATCTTCACTGTTCGCTAAATAATTGTCTTTCTATTCAAGAGCACAATCATCGATAAGTATTCATGGTAAAGGAATCCACATTGCAATGTCAAGTGGAACATTTGGCAAGAATGAATAAACCCTTCAAATTAAATTAGAGATGATTGGCAAGAACAGTAATTCTACACCAACATTTAATTTTCGAAACTTTTTCAAGATCATGTTAGGCTGATGAGTTGGCAAAAAGTTGAAATAGAAAAGGCAGGCATACCCCAAAGTGCTGAACTCTTCAATAGAGGTGGAACAGGTATGTCCTCTTCTGATTTATTTAAGCTCCTGAAAGAGAAAAATACAGTGAGAAGTCATCTACTTCGAAAAGAAGAGATGTAAACTTAGAAATAAGCTATTTATGACAGAAAACATCAGAGCCACTCTATTTCTGTAAAATATAAATTTAAAGCATAATGCATGACATATAAAGAAATGCAAACTATTATAACTAAAGATAAGAGTCTCAAATTGACCATGATAGATCTATATTCACAATCACTAAGGAATTAGATAACTCATAAGAGGACACTAATTTAGATGTGTATCATCTCTGCAAAAAAATAAAAAAATAATAATAATAAAAAAAAATTTAAGGTTGATTGAACAATCACAAAGAGTTGCAGAAACATCATGATATATTTTCTGTTTTCCTAAAGAGTAGAGGAATAGAGTAGCACAGCTTAACAGAAATTTACACAGCATAGACATTATGGCTTTATCCATTTGCAGTGTTCCCTATAACTGATATTTGGCTTGTCCAATTGTTATTTAGTCTACAAAAGAACTTGTCATGTATCAATATAACAAAGATATATTGTGATTGAGTTTAATAATTATTGGCAAGGGTTTCATGGACATGGATCCAAGATTAGAAATGAAAAGGCACCCAAAAGAGCCTTCTCAAAGGCAAACATCAATATTAAATAAATCTTCTACGGTAACACAGTTCTTGAATAAATACTGGGAAAATTCAGTAAAATGACTAAAGTAATTCACTCAATAATTCAATAACATTAATCATTTGATTTACTCTTTACATTACCCTACATAATAGAAAGAAGTGAACACCAAAAAGGTTATTGAAATAGCATTAAGCAGCTAAATACAGGATATATTCAAATAGATAATCAAATCAAACCTCTTGGCAGTCATTATTAAATTTGCAATTCCTTGGCCTATAATACCACATCCAAATCCAACTGTTGCATACATAATACCCTGAAAAAAGAATATGTATATCAACAATAACAGTCCAGCAGTATATTTACTTCAATCAGTTAACACAGATGCAAATCTTACCGTATAAAAGTATGTAGCAATTCTCTGATTTACAGAAAATCTACATCCTGGCCTTTCTGCTTCAAATACACTGCAAAAGACTATTGACTTCAGACATGTAGAATATAATTTACCATGTACTATAGCCACAAATGAGATGGTGATATAAATAGTATGGGGAACATATAGCTAGCCATGATAAGTCTCAAATCAGAAAATATCTAGACCACGGGCTTTGAAGAAATTAATCCAAATTTTATTTACAAGATAATTTTTTTTTTTTTTTTTTTTTTTTTGGAAATTGTTGTTAGAATGAATTATTAACCTGCTAGGAAGAGCTCCATATGCCTGTTGCAGGCGTCCAAGGAACCCTTTAGAAACAGATGGTTGCCCAATACGCACATAAGGTGCCAACATACCAACCAATGCAACGTTAACCACCACCCCAACCAAAAGATCTGCGAGGTACAACTCAAATTCTGCCCAGAAGTCTTTGCCCCTCTTTTGGACTTCAGCAAATGTAGCACAACAAGAATCAATGACAATCTACATCACATGAAGTTAATGGTGGTAAGTTTTGAGATGAAACTAGCAATTGACACCCTATTAAATTTGATATAAACAGGAAATTTGCCACAACCTCAACAAGTAGCAGCCTTTAGGTGTCGAAAACCTCAATAATGGTGTAGGCCTTATAATTATTGAGTTTGCATTATTTTAATATAACACCTAGCGTTAGTCATGTAACACGCATAGTCCCAAATATCAGGTTTTGCATAAAGAATATATCTAAACAAAGTCAACAAACCTCAGTTCCAATCTTGAAGAGGAAAGATGGATCAGCCAACATTCGGTTTCGCAGCATGCCCCACGACTTCACCAAAAATCCCAAAGGCCAACTCGACCCCTAAAAATAAACATCAAACCACCTATCACAAAGCAGCAAAATTGGTATACAAACAGAATTGTAGCAATTAAATCGATTGAGGCTACCTGCAAGTCCAAATATCTAAGTAGTAACACTTTGCGAATCCCCACATTCTTAGCAGCCTCGTACATATCTGAAGGAAGACTAGCTCCTCGAGCCTCCACCTCTTTCATTACCTCTTCAAATTTCATAATTGGTCCAAACTCCTTTTCTTCTTGATCATTTTCTTCACTGTCATCGCCCCCGCTACCACGACCACCACCTCTACCATTGTTAAATTTCCCATTTCCTCCTCTACCATCAAACATGTCCCCACCATTACCACTACTATCAGTTTTTATTTCATGGTTTGCCTCCAAAACTTTAAAATCTCTTCCTTTGCTACCATCATCTCCCTCTTTTGTCACTATAGTCGTTGCTAGATTAGATTGTGGCTCAGCAGGTGACTGTGACACATTACTCATGACAAGAAACCTCCGTTTTGTCTTCACATAGACATTTCTACTACTATTTTTTCCACAAAAAACTGGAAATGCCACATCCTTTACTAAGTTTCTGAATCTACCATCATAAAAAATCAAACTTTGATTCCATATCTTCCCCAATACGACCTCATTTTTCACATTCACAACATGTGATAACCCAAAACCCGATACACAACCAGCCATGTTTATCCTACTAGATTAAGTCGACAAATCTGCTAAAGATCTAACTACAATCAAAATACTCAGAACATTTATTTCTCTAAGAAATAGAGGCTGCTTTGAAGTTAAAGAGAAAATGAAAACGGAGTTAAATCTACTCTAAAATGAAGTTAAAAAAGAAGCTGCTTTGGTATTAGATTACGATAAGATTCTTCCTGAACGTACCAAATTGAAGGGAGGCGGAGAACGAGCAGAGAGAAGAGAGTGACGCCCTAGAAGAGACGTTAGTAGTGGCTTTTCTGCTTTTGAGCTTCACAGTGCTGTGGCGCTACATTAGTAGGTAGGCCCTTAGTTTATTTAGTTACATCATGTGGTCATCCCAGTGTGAAAGATATTTTTCACGTGCTGAGTCATCTATACCCTAGGGTTCTACTAACTTGCGCACGGTGTACCGAATGACGGAAGTGGGTGCTGCACACCGTGCGTAGTTTGATAATAACGCAGGCTCCTTCTTGGAAGAACAGTCAGCAGGTCAGCTCATACATTAGCTTAGATTAGTCAAAAGGTCAATTTGATTCTGAATTGTTCTCTAAATTTGTTTTGAAAAGAAAATTACATGTGTATTGCTACAAAGGCATTAGCAAGTTGCTGGTGTCACTGTCGAACACGTAAGTAAAGAATTAGTCTTTAAGATCAAAGTTTGATCATTTATTATAATAAGTAGACCACAACATTATTTATCTTGTCTTGTGAAAACACATGTTTTGTAGCAGCAATTTATATTTGCAAGTTGCTGGTGGTGAGTAAATATTGTTGGTTTTGTTCTTTCTGATGATGAAGAACAATTTCATTAGTTAGATCAAGAAAAAATTGAATCCATTTGCTGCTTTTGAATAATAACTGGAGAAACCATATGGTGAGCTTATACATATCAAATGATCATCAGGGATTAAAACTAGATGTTTGTATATGGTGGTTATAAATAAGTTTTGAGTTGATTACACCCAAGAAGCAGTGTTTTCAACTATTTGTAAATGAGATTGCTGTTCTGATATATTTGCAAAACTACATTGTTGTGGTTCATAGGAAGAAGATTTTGGTGAAAGATAGTTTTTTCTGTTATGAAATTAAGAGATTGAAGTCTACAATGGGAATTGTAAGACCATGCTTAATGAAGAAAGAATAGTAATGATCTTTGCAGCTTCATGTTGGTATTACATTTATTGATTACATATTTTTTCCCAGAGGAAACACTGGAAATCTTAAGCCTGGAATTCTAGAATTCAATCATTCCTCTTCTCATCTGGGTTTGACTCATCATATGCAGTCAAGAGCTCCACAACTTTGCTCATTGGAGGCCTCGAATGACGATCTTCTGCTACACACAGCAGAGCAACTTCTATCATTCTATCAATCTTCTCCTCGTAGGATTCATTTTTCAGTCTGGGATCAATTACTTTCCTTAGCCCTTCTGGTGTCATGTGTTGTTTAGTCGCCCATTGTACCAAATTATTGCACTCGCCGTGAGGAGTAGCTAATTGAAAACCGGAGGCTGTCTTTCCACTCAATAGCTCCAACAGGACAACACCATAGCTGTACACATCGGCTTTTGCATCAATATGTTGGTTCATCATCCATTCTGGAGCCAAGTATCCTATCGTGCCACGCACCTTGGAAAACAATGTGTCATGCCGGTCTATGAACAGCTTTGACAGACCAAAGTCGGCCACTTTAGGTTCAAGATGATCATCCAACAGTATATTTTGAGGTTTCACATCACAGTGGAGTACCCACTCTAGGCACTCTTCATGTAGATATGACAAACCCCTTGCAGTTCCTACTGCAATGTTGTATCTTTGGTTCCAGTCTAATTTGCTGGCTGAATCACTGAATAAGATTTTATCCAGTGAACCATTTTCCACATACTCATAAACCACCAACTTGTGCTCATTCTCAGCACAAAATCCCCACAGTTTCACCAAATTCATGTGATTGATCTTCCCTATGATGCTCACCTCCGCCCAAAATTCAGCATCTCCTTGCAAAACACCTCCCAGTCTCTTCACGGCTATAACTCTTTCGTCTTCCAGAACTCCTTTATAAACTGTCCCAAAGCCCCCAGTTCCTATCTCTTGCTTGAAATTCTTTGTTGCCCTTTTCAGTTCCGCATAAGTGAAACGTTTGAAGCCCATGGCTAGTACAAACTGTCCCATATTGGCCAATTCCTTGTGCATGTGCTTCCTGAAGACATACCACCATGCCAAACCAATGCAACTTATTTCAATGACTGCGAAGGCACTCACGAAGGCAATCAAATATTTGATGTGCGAGTTCTTACTGGTTTTTCCTCCCTCAGCAAGAGCCTCATTTGAACAGTTCAGGTCATTTGTCCCCACATTCCTCGGCTCCAGAGAAGAGATTACTGTTCCTCTAAGAATCTTTATATGCATATTGAGGGCTTTACTCGGTACACGATAGCCGTTTAGGAGAGTACCTTTCGGATAACAGCTGCCTAGTCCATCTGTCGAATATCCAAACCCCTTGCATGTGCAATCACTTAGACACCGATTTCTGCATTCTTCAAAGGAAATGCGTCTAGCATAGGTAACCAAGTCATATCCTTGGAAATCTGTGCTCTTAAGCTGCATGAAATTCAATTTAGTTGGATCACAAGTCAGATTAAACGAAGGAGAGCAACCCTTGGACCAGTCTGAAGGATTATTTCTGTTGAAACCATCAGGGCAAATGCAAGTTGATTGCGGGCTGCAAACGCAAATACCATTTTCACCGCACAACCCATGAACATGGCAATTATAAAGGTCAACAGGGATCCATGAGATTTTCCATAGCCCGGTTGAATCATCTAAACTATACAATCTCAAAATTCCATCATAATCTAATGTTAAGCGCCTCTTTGGACCGACTCCATAATCAGTTGCTTTGAATACAAAATTATCACTTGATTCAAAATGTCCAAAATCATTTAGAATTGCTTTTCTGGTGCTATTATAAGATGTTCTGCCACTCTCAAATACGGTCACCTTTGTACTTGGCCAGTAGACACTTGACAATAGAGGACCATTGAAGATGAGATTCAAAACAATATTATCATCGAATTTCAAATTATAAACTCCCGATAAGTATGTACCTCGACTTCTCATAGAGACCAAGGTTGTGTTCTTGGTAAATGGCTGAGATGGAAGGAGTGTGTCCGTGGGGAATTCAAAACTCTCCCAGATGATCCTCTTGGCTTGGTTGACCAGTACCAAATTTCCTGTTTCAAGAAGCCGAGCTTCGACACCTGCATTTGTTAATGTGTCAGTTGACCATACTACTGATTCATCTTCATCAGTCAAGACCAGATTTCCATTTCCATGGAGGGTTAACCTGGAATGCCTTCCATTAACTGGCTTGTCTCTGTTGGCCATCCAAACCACGGTCTTGTTAACCGAGTTGGTGAACCATATTGCAAAACAATATGCATTAGTGCCAACCTCGTAAAATCCACTAGAGAATGTCCCCTTTGGTGAAGCCAGGAAATCATTCTCTTTTGCAACAGCCAAGAAGCTTCTGCGGCTTAGACTTGGCAACCCCTGTGACCATGCTTGAGCCCAGGCCACTGGTACTAATATCAAGAGAATGAACAAATCAAGAAATCTCATTGTTGGGGGTTTTGCAAAAGATTAACTCTCGAATAATCTTTCTGAAGCTTGATAAAAAGACTAAAAGGTTGCTTCCTGTAAGAAGTATTATAATGTCTCAGACTTATTATAAAATAAAATTTATTTCCTGATTGGCAACTAAATTATTTGACATTCAACGAATCGTGTGGACCACGAGGGGGCTTTATAACATTCTGACTTGCTTAATTGAAGACCAATTTATGTGAAGACAAATATATATATATTTCAACGTAAGATTAGGGAGATTGAGGAAAAATGACTTTGAATCAATGTTCCGAAATGCGGACCGAAAGGTGACTTGGTTAAATGACCGGCTTCCATCTGAACGGTCCAACCGATCTGACCGAGAGATCAGATCAATGATGTCATCAAATATATGCATATTTTCTCACATGTCATTTCATCTTCTCTTTCTTCTTTTCTCCTTCTTTTTTTTCTCTCTCTTTCTTTCCGTCCTCTCTTTCATCTTTATATTATATATTTTAAAAAATGTCACCTCCTCTTCTCTTTCTTCATCTCACCCGTCACCTCGTCTTTCCTTTCTTTTCTCTACTTCCATCTTTTTCTCTCTCTCTCTCTCTCCGTCCTCTTCTATTTCTTCTTCTTCTGCTTGTTCAGATCTTCTCCTTTTATCTTTTTTTTTTTTCTTTTTTTCACTTTCTAAGCTCGAATCTAACTGAAGATGAATAAAGGTGGAAGAGAAGATGAACGAAGTTGGATTGGAAGCCGGAAAAAGACGAAGAAACAAATAAAAATTAAAGAAACGAAGACTGAGCAAGAAGCCATTGAAGCACTAGGATGTCCATGAGGGGTAGAGGCAAATTGAACTTGGTTTGTTGGATGGACAGTGTAGGATTGCTGGCTAGGTATTGTGTAAAGTTGCTGACTAGGTACTGTGTTTGATGGAAAATTACCAGGAGAAGGAGCTACTTGTGCAGGAGAATAATCTAAATGTCCTACAAGTGAAGATCCAGTGTTCACCATTTTTGATTCACTACTGAAAGTATGAGAACCTTGTCTATGTGGCCCAGTGGCAGTATTAAAGAATGGACTTTGAGGACCTTGATTACCAAAATGTGCAGTGCCATGATTCCCAACTTGTGCAGTATTACCAAAGGCATTATTGTACTGTCCAAAATTCCCACTATGACTAGAATTGGTAAAAGAAGGTGCTCCAGGACTACTAAACTGAGGAGGCATTCCATTATAGGTAGAATTGTACCTATGGTAACACTGTACTGCTGTGTGACCAATTTTGCTGCAAACCTGACAAATTGGCTTAACTCTGCCATTTCCTCTTCCCCTACCTCTACCAGTTCCATTAAATCCAGGAGGGCTAAATCCATATTGACCAAAGTGAGAGACAGGTGAAAATTGAGTAGTGAAATTAGATGTGGCAGAATCATGCCAAGTTGGATTGAGAGAATAACTAGCAGTAGGTAAGGTATTTGAGTATAAGCAGTAGGCAAGGTATTTGAGGCATAGGATATGGAATTAGGAAGAACAGGAGCTAAATTTGGATTGTTTGGCACTGAACTAATTGAGTTTGACGTAGGATGTGAGATGTGAGAATATTGTTGACCAGCATTACCAATAGAAGCCACATTAATAGATCCCCCTTGAAACTCTACCGAATTAAACTTTTCAAGCCGTAGCTCATATTTTTGTAAAAGAAATTGAGCTTCTTGCAGGGTTACTGAGTCAAACTTAGACTCAATCCGATAAGTTAAATTCACTACTGCAGCATCAAATTCAGGACCAAGACTATCTAGTACATATTGAAGTAAATCTTCATCAGAGATTACTTGGCCACTAGCTGAAAGGCTTTCGGCTATACTCTTTATTTTCTTGATATACTCACTAACACTAAGATTTCCTTTTTGTGTATTCTGGAGTAGGTTTTTCAAGTGAAGAGCCCTGGCTTTAGAGTCATTTAAGAACTCATGTTCATTTTTTATTTTTTATTTTTTACTTTTCTCTCTATGTCTCTGTGCACAATCTGTAGTCTGCAATAATGGCAAGAAGCCATGAACAGTATATTTTTTCCGTGATCTGGCAATAATTTTTCATTTTTCTTTGTGCCAGTGTTTGTTGAGTTTTTTGAGGTGTTGATTCCAGCTATGGATGGTCAATTTCTTGTTTAGTCTCTACTTGTATAATGAAAATCTGCTCATTCACCGAGAAATATTGTTGCTTGCCAATCAAATACACCCATATTACAAGCTGCAGACTGTTAAAAAGACTAATTCGGGTTTGCTTCTGAATCGTATTAGATCAGGTTTTGTGATGAGTGTCTGGTCAAATATAATAAAATATCTTACTCGTTCTACTTAATAATGCACAATATGGTAACAATCAGTTTTAACATTAATAACCTCTATGTTTTTGTTTCTGTGGCTCCCGGTAATCAAAAACCCGCAATTTTAATTCTTTCTTCTTTTTCCTCTTATTTTATAATAATTTCTTTTTCCTCTTTTCTCTGTGACCTTATACTGTCCAACATAATCAAAATTGTTCCTTTCTGGAATATAAAGCATTCTTTTATTTACTTCACATGCTACATCTGCAAAATGCTTTAAACTGATCTTACATGATAAACTGTGTATCCTAATCATGAAAGCACAAAAATATACTCTAGCTAGAAAACGGAAGATGTTTACAGCTGAAGTGCAGTTAGTGATTGCCTGGACTAGGGACTTCAGATTCAGTTTCACATTCCAACAGGGTCCGGACTACTGAATCCATTGTTGGTCTCTTGTTTCGATCTTCCTCCACACAGGATATACCAATTTCAACCAANTTTCTAGAGAGAAAAATATGAGAAGTCGAGTATGAATTTCATTGATTGAATTAGTTTTTTTACAACCACTTAGAAACTTATACACAAAACAGTGTGTAAAGAGATTGAAGATGCAGGAACTAAAACGTAGTCCCAAAACACCATCGTTTTGAGACACAAAGACTACAAGACTTGAAACGCCACCGTTTTCACCTATTTACAATACAGTACAACAACTTGTGAACTTAATACTCTGGTCCTATGATAAAAACATCTTTGGTCAACATCCTGCAAATGCCAACCAGATAAATTAGCCACGTCAGTCAAAGCATCTCTCCATTTCTGCAACTTCTCAGCTCCAAAATTAGCTTCTTCATGTTTATGAAAGGCCTCCCCAAAGCTCCCCGTCTGTTTACGAACATCACTCAGATCCACATCATAGAAAACTGGGACAATAGTTTGCCCCATCTCTTTCACGCACTCAACAATCTTCAAAAGTTCTTGCAAGCAACAGATGACATCGCATAGTTTCTCAAAAAAACAATAACGAAAAATCTTGATTCTTCAATGGCTTTAATGAGCTCCGGCGAAATGGGTTTGCCTCCCTCAAGCTTGTCATCATCTCTACAAACGATCATACCCTTTTGATACAAAGCTCTGCATAAATGATCGGTGAAGTTCTTTCGAGTGTCTTTCCTCTGAAACTAACAAAAACATCGTATTTCCACCAGGGACGTGAAGAAGAAGAGGACGAAGAGGCTCCTCCGTTGTAGTTCAAAGCCATTGTTGAAAGTTGAAAACTCTACTAAACTTGGGCTAGCTTGTTCCAAGTGTTGTGTTTAGTTTCAGGGTTTGGCATTGCATTTGAATGATGAATATGAAGGGAACTTTCATGGATGGAGGCTTGTATTAAACGGTGAGAGAGACATTATTGGGTGGTTAGAGTTGGGCTTTTTAGAGTTATGGATGAAGGTGCTTTTGTTATGGCAGTTTTACCAGCATCAAGCTCCTTCAAACATTCGAAATCCCCCAAATTCTCTGGCAATTAGTCAATTTTTGAGCAGCCAATGAGCAAAAGAAACCTGAAGAGATCTCCATCCAGAGATTATTCTTGGAAGAATCTGCAGGTTTCTGCAGTCTTTCAGATATAATACACTCAGCCTTTTGAGGTCACCAATAGAAGGATGAAGCTAATATAAATTCGTACAACCTCCAAGAATAAGGCTCTCAAGATTTGGAACTCCTCTGATATCTGGAGTTCTGGTCAGCTTTTGTGTGTGACTCATTACGAAGATTCTCAAATTATCTAAATGTTTTCTGAGACATAGAAAACAGAAAGGAAAGGACATCATCCTTGAAACTTAAAACATTTTCAGTGAAATAATGTTCGGTAGGAAATAATCATACTACAATATCCTTCCAAAGGAGTTCAATGCTACTATGTGACATATCAAGTTCAACAAGTTTCTGGGCTTTTTAACTCGATGTCAAAGAATTTAGTGGCTGTCCATGCCATTTAAGAATCTGTAATTTGTTGGGAAGAAATTCAAGACCTTCGGGAAGAAGAAAATGAACTTACTTCATATTTCTTCAACAATCTCTTGGATAAATGTTACCACACTTCTGCAAAGAATGTAGAAAAATGACAACCCTTCTATAATTTATATTTCATATTCGGCAGTAATTCTGAATCCACAAGGTTAATGTTAGAATAAGTAGTACAATAATGCATCTAATAATACACACACATATACACACATAAGTCTAATTATATCAGTTATATCTGAAAATGTCGTAACATATTATTCACAACAGTGTGCTGAATTCCAATTCTTGAATCTATGATTTCAATAAGACAGGCTAGCAGTTTAAGAAGAGAATGTCTTAAAGACCCTGGATCAACCCATAAATATAAATTTTGATCCAAAATCCACAAATTCAAATCATGATTTGTGCCAAATTCAAACATGATGAAATGACTTCGATTCATAACTATAGGTTGAATAAAGATTGCAAACTTTATTAACTTGAGACAAATTTAGGGGGAAATGTGTTAGAACTTGTTTATTTTGATCATATTGTTCAGTACCCGCAAGCTTAAGCAATACAAACAGCAATATTGAAAGCTAACATAAATAATATGCTTTGCTAAATTAATCAAATTACCCTTAAAAATTCTATAAAAGAAATTAACAATATT